GTGGTGGATAAAGGTATTTGCAATGACTAAGTCACTGGTCTTTCACAATTCCGTCATCCGATCCCTAGTGTGATTTCGATCATCAAAGCCATATTTTCCAGCTACTGATGCTGACTAGGGACCCTGATGGTGTAAGTGGGTTATGCATTGGGCTGCTATTTGAGGGTGTTCCTTTTCTACAGACCCTCTACTTTATGATGTATGATAAAGGACTTGATCCTTTATTCTCAAGGAGTTAGTCCCTCCTGATAACACGTCCAAAGGATCACGTGGTCAGCAGTTTGACACCACCAGCCTCTTTACAGGAGAAATATGAGGGTTTCTGATTCTGTAAAGATTTACAGTCTCAGAAACCCATAATTTGTCTTCTTTGCCCTACAGCATCTCCATGAATCAGAATCGACTACGTGCCAATGAGTGAGGCTTTGGATCCTATTTAAGGACACAGACTATTTAGATGTAGACTGTTTCTTGGGTCATAATACATTCTCTGAATTTTCTGATTAAATGAGTCTTATCTTTTGGAAAGCTAGCCCATTCAGTCTAACCACTTGTGAAAAAGAATCATTAAATTCACCAATGCCTTAAGTTCCTTTAGAGTTTTATTCCAGCAGTCTTGGGAGCTAGTGAAGAACTTGTTGTGCAGGCATTGGGATGGTGGCAAGAGGCATCTGGTTCACCATAGCTGGTATGGCAATGTTCCAGTTCATTTGTTGGTTGTAAATGGTAACAGCACAGAGTAGTAAGATGTCCAACATTCAATGTCGGACTCAACAAATGGCTGCAATGAAAGGGTACATATAGTTTCTCATCAGAATGTTATTTCCTACCTTCTTTTAACCCACAAGAGGGAGAAAATTGGTGTCTGTGGATCAAAAATGCAGAGGTGAGCAGATGTTGTTCTACAGATGCTTGGAGACACCTGTTTCCCTGACAGGTAAGCGTTAGGGAAGTGTAGGCTAGGTGAGTTAGTTAATTGTGCCAACCTGGCTGATAATCACATGTGGGGCTAATTGAAAGGCAGAGGGATAAATGGGTGGTGAGCCTCGCTTTTCTAGTTCTTAGGTCTCTTGCTTTGTGATGGTCGCACCAGGGTGCAGCTGCCTTAGCAGTTCCCGGCTTCAGCT